AGCTCTAGAATTCTAAGGTTCAGCAGAAAACGCTTTATTATTCTGAAGGGTAGGTGTTTTAAACCTTTATAAATCAACAAGAATTTAAAGATGAACCTCAACCATCTGAGCCTTGGTATTTTGAAATACTTTACAAATCAAATTTTACCTATTGACCTTTATAAGGGTTCTACTGTAGTGTTTTTTGGTTTTTGTTTTTTATAACCATAAAATCAAATCAAATCAATTTATTGTTGTAGGCCTAGATATTTCACAATGTATTAACAATCGTCACAAAATACATAATGCTGTTATTAATACAGAATATGAATACTTACATGTAATCAATCAATATAATAAGACCTAGTACAAATATATATACAGTATATATATAGCCTATATAAAATACAGGCACAATTAAATAGAAATATTTTGACATGTAAAAAAATCCTCCACTGTATATGGGCATTTTAGTATTAAATGTGTTTTCATTTTTGATTTGAAAGTGTTGAAGGACAACCCCCAAGACTCCACTATATATTGCTCCAATATGTGGAGCAATTTATTAAACAAATTATCTGTCATGTATTGTATGTTTGTTTGACTCTTTGAGTATTTACAAAGCACTGTTTGTAAGTTGTTTTTAAATCTGGTTTCATAATTATGTTTATGTGAATTTTCTAAAAAAATGATTTTTTACATACAACAGAACTTGAAGAATATATATTTCAGGTAAAGTTAAAATTTTGAAATGTTTAAATATATTTATATATAGGTTTACAGTGAGTTCTAGAGCGTACACCACTTACAAGCCTTATCACCCTTTTTTGCAATTTAAATAACTTTTTGGTATATGATTGGAAACCCCACACCAATATTCCATAACTCAATAAACTATGTATCTGTGTAGCTTTGTATAACTATACACTGTTATCATAACATCTTGTGTTACACAACCTTTTAATCTTCTTAAGCAGTTGGCCTATACACCTTTCGACAGCTTGGTTGAGGTTATGTCAAAGTGATCCTTCCAATCTAGTTTTGAATTTAAATTAATTCCAAGAAATTTTAAAGGTTTTATCTCATTTAATAGGAGCTGCCTATTTGAAAAACAAATTTCCAAATCTTGCAATTTATTTAGATTTAGGATTAAAATGCAATTTAATTGCAATTTATTTAAATATCTACACACATGATTTTAGACACCTAGATTTTTTTGGTAGGTACTTTTTACTACTAGGTACTACTAACTTACCGTAGGTATTTTTGTACCTGGTACCTATATAAATTGATAAGCCCAATTAAATTGTAAAAATATAAAATCCTGTTCAACACAAAATTAAAGTTATAAGGGGCAAGGGGTTGCTGGCAATACAATTTTAAGATTTATATATTGATATGTTAAAAGGTGTTTGTCAATTAACACTCTTAGGTGAATATTATAATTATAGTACGTTGTGCAGTTATGTAAAACTTAATAGCCCAAAAATAAAGCTTTACATTTTTTAAAGAGGTGTCGGCCTCTTTTAACATTGCATTGGCCTGTCCACCTAGGCCTCGGGCCTGTGCGTGGAACATATCCAACAAAGCAAGAGGTGAGTTGGTACAGTACAAGGGTGAACTTGAACTGTATTGATCAAAAGTAGTGGCAGGTAGCAGGATCCGAACCCATGACATCACTGCCTTGGGCCCGAAATCTGTGGCGCTACCAACTGAGCCACCAACTCACTAATCCGAGGAATTCCCAAAGAAAACTTAAAGTTCTCGACCCAAACCTAAAATTGTACTGCTCTTCTTCGCTGAAATTTAAAGGAAACTGAGATTATCAGATCAATCACTCATAACATCTTACAATGCACAAAGTAGGAAGACTGCTGTGTCATCACAATAATAACTTAACCTAAACTATAACTTATAAAGTTAACATAACTAAAATATCTTATAAAATAACTAGAAAAGACTTTAGGATTCAACATATTATTTTAAAAAGCATCTTTACAAAACTCTTTTATTGTGAAGTACCACAAATGGTCTATTGTCTGTAGTATGGCTTTTTCAACAGAAGTTCATGTAAAGGTTCTAGGCTAAATTCTTTGGGTTATTATTTAATAAAATGCTGTATGATTCATTTAAAACTTTTACCGTCATGTATTTTGGAAAATTTTCATAGAATGAAAGCCTATGCCAAGGAAATTTTCATTTGTTATGATGTTTTGTTGGATATTTATGATTGAATTTACAGTGATAACACATTTCATTACTTTAGTTAAAATACCGATTTCTTTAAATAAATATCTACAGCTTGTACTTTTACTTCGAGCCATAGTCCTCACTATTGATTTTTGAGCATTAAACACAGTTTTCGATTGGGCATAGCATCCTTAAAGTATTGTGCTATATCTAATTATTGATTCAATGTAGGTGAGATATACCATTTTACATATATCCATTGATATTTTATTAATAATTACACTTAATGCATACCTAAACGAATTTAACTTTTTAGACAGATATTGAATATGATTTCCCCACTTAAGTTTATAATCAAGGTGTATTCCTAGAACCTTGCGGGTATTGAATTATTTTATATCTCCTCAGGTTGAGGTTTTAAACTTGTTTTTATTCTCACAATTTTTATTTTTTAATTGCATTAAGTGTGTTTTAGAACCATTCATTAACCAAATTTCTTAGTTCATCCACAGTTTTTTAAATAGATTTTTCTAATTTCTCAGGTAAGCTAGCTAAACTCTGTCCCTTTTCATAAAAAAAATATTGATTCTTTACCAAGGGTATTCTCTAAAATGCCGTTCTGTAGTTAAATAACAAATGTTTAAACTAATTATGCCGTTTGATTGACTCAATACTAAGTCCCACGCCTACTCTCGGTATGGTTGGTTTGGGTAATGGAAGTGTGTTTCCTTCAGCAATTTTCAAATCATTGTTGCTTACATAATGCATCTGGTATTGATCCTTAAATATAAACTAGTATTGTTGCTATTGACATTTTGTTTATAAATACTTAAAGCTAATTAGTCATGAGTAAGGTGAACTCTATTATGTAACTTGAACTTGCAAAATATCAATGTGTTTGTTGTTGTGGGCTATTGTTGTCTTTGTTGTGATCATCGATACAGTATTATTACTGGGATATGAGAAAGCGAAATGATTGATTGATGCAGTAAAGAATTGATTTTATAGGTTTATCAACATTAACATGTGCATCAAAACAAAAACAATTTACACTTCATTATGGCCTTAGATTACTATCAGCAGTAAGTCTTAGTTCTACAACTTTACCACCAAAAGACAAGAGAGGAAATCAGTCAACAGGCTTTGATTTAAAATTGATAAAAAATCACCAATAACTATAAAATCAAAAGGCATAACAGATTCACTCTTGGATTGGAGTAGTTTCGGTACTGAACTTGGAAAGGCCTATTAGGGTCTGCTATAAATTGTCTGTTTTAATGTTCCCAAATGATAAAAGCACTATTTACATATTTATATCTTATCCTTCCCTTACACAGTCAACATAGTGTCTTTGAACATTTAAATATAGAAACCTCACTCTCAGAACGCAGGGAAATATTAGTGATTAATATTGGCAACACTGTATGACAGCTGATGCTCCTCTACAATACTTTATCCTACTCCTACCCACTTGATGTTGTTAACTCTGTAGCTCAAGCGCTCCAGAGATAATATTGATTTCATATATGTGTAAATTTTTTAAGTAAATAAGATAATTTGAACTTTGCAAACACAAAGCTAATAGTTAAATACAAGACATTTCTAATTTTCTTATTTAAAGTTAGATATATTACAGTATCTTCTTTGTCCAAAAACAAATCACATATTTTCATTTTCATAATGATGTGTACATCAGTACCCATACAAGTTATGAATACCCACAAAGTACTGAACTTAGTACTCTTTCCCTCATACTATTTTTATAGAATATAAACTGACTAATGCACGCTGTTAGGTTACAGATGCATCTTTTACAAAGGAAGGAAATAAACTATTAGTGAGCTTAAAGTTGCATTTGCCAAAGTAATCTTGTGCACTTTCATAGCAAGTGACTCAGTTGTACAGGAATCTAAATTAAGTGCTATTGTTGGCTTGTGAGCTGTTAACAGAGTTATTCGCACACATAAAACTGTTATGTTCCTACGTTGTTATGGTAATGCTATTTGTGACTGCTAGCCTAGAGTTTATCACATTCGTCTTACCTCAATTAAAAAAATTTCCTTCTTCAAAACCACTGTTTAGGAGATTTAATTTCATTAATTCTTTTAATGGCTCGCTTTAATTTTAACCTTATTATTTTTCTATACTATTACTTTTAGAATATGGTATTTCCCCATACCAATATGGTAGCATATGGTAGTTTTTTTAGAATATGGTATAAATCCTTCACAATGGTATAAATAAGTAACAATAAATTGACTTATATTATAGAGGACACTCTGTACATAAATTACATACATCTGCACCATCATCGCTTGAAATCGATAACCTGTTATTATCTTGATGAATGTCAGACATATTATCATTATTGAGTCAAGAGATATTTTTTTAGTTGTGTTGCCATGCCTCTTTGATCTCCTTTTGTTGCTAAAATTTCTTCTCTTTCGATCAGATGTATACTCGGTCTATACCAAAATCAAATAATAAATGTGTTAAAAATCTAAAAACATTTTAAAAATTGTATTACTACCTTAAGTAGCATGGCTATGTGCAGATATGCATATGATATAATATAACACATATGGTGATAGTATAGAATCCGTTTATTAAATAGAGGTAGTTATGCAATAAAGAGAAAGTTCTCCTCAATTAAGAAACAAGTTTTGTTTTTGTTTCATAGGCAGGATTTAGGTGGGCTCCGAATCACCAGGTTATATAGCTAAAAGCCATAAGTCATTGGCTGGATTTGAACCTTGACCTTCATGACAGCCCACAAGACCAACTGTGTCTCAAGGTGTTTTCACTAACTATAATCTGTTGTTTTTTTTCAGAACCAGTCACCAACCAATCTAAGCCTACGGCCGAAGCGATAAAGGTTGACGTTAAAGAAAATGAAATACCAGCAGCCAAACCATCCCCTGAGAAGGTGGATCCTAAACCAGTGGTGATACAGAAAATCCCACTCAAGGCGGAGTTGGAGGTTCCTTTGAACAAAACCAAGGGTGGTTACCTGACACGAAGCATCTACGCGGCGGGACACAACTTAAGTGTGCCAGAGCTATGTACGGAGCTCGGGGCTAAGGTTCGGCTGTTCGTTATGATCACCTCGGCTCCTGATCACTACGCTGCACGAATGGCCGTACGTCAGACTTGGGGACACTTTGCTCAACGCAAGGACGTAAGTGTATAACAAAGATTTGTGTAGAGTTCTTGCATGAGGAGAGTAGAATATTGTCCATCCTATTGATTTAATATAAAATAGTTTTAATCAGTTTGTATTAAATAACACTGTAGTGGTGTTCAAAGTATAATTGTTTTGCTAACTTGTCAGTCTCGTTGCCAAGATCCGTCTTAACAGCCGCAAACTACTTCTCTGTTTCTGCTGTAAAGTTGGCCGCCGTATGCAAAGAAGCTGAACACACTAAGTGATGGGGCTCCGTTTTACCCTGAAGACAATAATAGTGTTTTTAATGTGACTATGGAATAATAATTCAGTATGATTTGCTAGATATAAGTAATAGTCTCGATATTCTATATTACTGTTTATAACTACCTACATTAAATTTATAAAATACTCTAAGCGAATTCAATATACTGTATATAAATACATAATACCCCCGCCGCAGCAAACCTGCAGACTAAGGGAATTTCAACTTGTCTGATTACATTTTTCCTCACCTAGTTCCATAAATAAGACATATTTATTCCCAATTTAAATAACATTAGATTTAACGAGTGCTTAGGTTTGCTGCTACGGGGAAGGTAAAAAGTGTTTTTTGACCATACTCAATAGTACATCAATAGTATAGGATGAAATAAATAAATTTGCCAAATGTGATCAACATATATCAATAAACAAGTAAACTACAACAGTTTTCATTTTCTCCATAAGAATAACATGGGAATTTTAAATTAGGCCTAACACTTTTTTGAATTTTCTCCGTAACCATTAGGCATACAACAATGCTTCAATATACTAAATTATTTCTTTTTTTAAGCTCTACAAAATGGTTTGGAAAGAAGTTCCAAAATTTTATGTTTTTAGGGTCAAAAATGGAAAAAAACTCATTTTTACCCTGTAAAACCCACCATAAACCCCCGTTCCCATGGTCGGATCATGCTGGTTTGCAAACTCGTTCGAATAAATGTAGGTTTACATGTTTATACCGAATTTAATCAAAATCGGATAATTTTTGCTCGAGTTCTCGTGCTAACGGACATATATATATATATATGAATTTGAACGGATGGAGTTTTTGGCCTCTGGGGACCTCAAAACAAAAAAATAAATCGGTCCCGGGTCCAGGTCTTACCATGAGACCTACGGTAATAGCTTATTCCCTATATGGGAAACTCGCTAAAAATCAGGTACAGTACACATAAAAAAACTCAATTACAAAACCCATTATTTTTTTCATCGCTCTCCTCAATAGGCAACAATAGGCCAATATTAGCCGTTGATAGAGACCCTGTCAGTCCTTCATGACCCCCTGCCTGCGGCAATGTACACACGTGGCATCGTCTAATAGGTTGTTATCCTGTTAATAGGTCTATCATTAATTGTTTTCGTGTTATGTGTAAAATGTGTATAACTTATTCTGACACCACCTCAAGTAGTGAATACTTTTGTTACCCTGACAATGGCAAAGTTATAAAAAAAACAAGGAAAAATACGTAGCAGATTTCTCCAAAAGACACTACTTCACTTGTAAAGAATTGTCTGTAGAGTAACGTATAATTTGACTATGTAAATCTAATCCCATACTAAAATCGATTAACCATTTGTTACAAAATTTTTATTATTATTCTTTTACCAACTATCACCATTGACCATTTGGATACTAAAGTAGACATCCCATCTACATGGACCAGCTGTCAATTTTTTATTAAAAAAGAACGTAGTTGTGTGAGCCAGTCACAGAATTTGCTAGTGTCTAAAACTACTATTTATTTCTTTTTTTATGACCAAGTTGATGTGTCATAACACCCCCCATGAGCCACCATTAGTCATTTCATAAGTTTGACGTGGTAAAAAAGTTTGTGTAATCGACAGACTTATCTAATTTAGAACAGCACAATCTGTCAGGGCCTCACATCAACTACGATGATTTTGATAAAAAATATGCCTACAAATTTAACATGGGGATGGAATGTCTAGTTATATTAATAGTCACATCTATCATCCACATTAAAAACTGTTTAATCAATGAATCCCTTTTTATATAGGGCCTTTTTTCTATTAGATGTTCTTTAAATTTAGGGCTTGATACATTTTGTGTTCTGATACTGATCGAAAATTCCCCAATAACTAATGAGCCGGACTCAGTTAGGCCTAGTGCATGTTTTTTTTTCTTTAATGAAGATAAATTATGACTTGAGGATGCAATGTATTTTTTATATCCATGTTTTATTTGGATGGTTGAATCATGGCCATGTTGGACGATGGCAAAATTGAACTTTTGTAAAACTGCCCAAGTTTGTCACCCCGTGCAGACAATCATAGATGAAAATTATGTCCAGTTTTTTCATCATTCAACTTAGTCTAATCAAGATAATTATAAGACTCAACTGGCTTTTTCTTTATAGTGACATACTTTCTACTAGGTCAAAGTAGAAAGCTGAAGGTCTCTCTTCTTTTTTGCTTATGAACCCCTCGTATTATCAGTAGGAAGAAAGAATGTGTTGTTAGTGAGGTACTGTATATAATTAGTTCTAATCATTGGCCGAGCAGTCTAAGCCTAAGGCATAGATTGAGGGTTTGGGGTGTAACCCAGGAGTAGTTCACCTGTCAGTTGCATAGCTCGGGTGGAAGTTGACATGATGGATGGACTTGTGAGTTGCAATGTTACTACTTGATGCTTATCCGTAGGCCTACTGTGTGTTCATCCACCAAAAACTTGTTTTCAACCCTTTAAACTCCACACATTATCAGTGATTTATACATGTCTATTTTTTAAATATATTTTACTTTTATGTACATACAAAAACAAGATAATTTTTTTTTAATATCATAATTTTGCTATAAGTTTAAGCAAATTTTGTAATTACAAAAGTTTGGATTATCAGAACTAATACACTGTACAATTTCACCTTTTTCTAATTGGTTTCATTTCCCCTTACCTTCAGTGACACATTCCTTGGCTGATGGTAAACAATATGGCTGATGAGTTTGGCAAGAGAAACTCATATGCCAATAACAAGTGATGTATTTGTTCATAAATTTCAAGTTAAATAGTCAATATCGTGACAGTATAAGAAGAACAACTCTGTGAATAGTATAACTTAAATACACCAGACTCTCTCAATATGCCTCACAACTGTGCCTTCTAAAATTATTCTATCTTGTTAGTTAGTGGTTTCTTAACTGCATAAGGTCTAATTCTCAGTAGTAGAACTCCAATTATCCGAATCAATAGGGACCAGACCCCATTCGGATAATCAAAAATTCGGATAATCGGAGTTTTACCGGAATTCCGGGAATTTTAAAGAAAAAGAAAAATCCTCATTTTCGGTACTAAGTGAACTTTTAATTAATAATAATTTAAATCAGAACATTTTTACAGTTTACAATGCTCATATTACAAGTGTTCTATACATGTTTTTAAGTCAATAGTGTTCCATCAAAGTCCAATATTGGCTAAATGTGTTAAATAACAATTCTTTGATGTTTCGCAAAACTTATTACTGTAGCTTTACGTTTTTAAAATTGTTGAAATAAGCGATTCGGATAATTGGAGATTCGGTTAATTGGAGTTCGGATAATTGGAGTTCTACTGTAGTTATACGATGAGCAACCAATCATGAATTTAGGATATTTGTTTTATTGACCTAATTCATGCAAGTCTTTAAATGGTTGAGTTTTTTCAGAGTTTGTCAACTTTTAGAGATTCATCGTAGCAAGATTTAGTTAAATGCTATCGCTTGTGTACAGATAATAATGGCTTGATAAAACTAAGTGCTTCATCAAGTGTATGTATCATTTTATTGCTTTATGTTTTATCATTTGTTTCATTAGGTTTAGAAATTTGTTAATTTAGTCCAGTAAAATAAGACATTTTGGTATGCAAAAGGTCGGGTGGTTCTGATTTTTGGATATGTTGTTAGTATTGGGCCCATAACATAAAATCCAAGTTATCCACCTCAAGATACTGCCGCTCGACGCGGGGCGCGCCACTTGTTATCGAAATATCAAAAATATGGCAATTCCTATTGTTTTTCACTCAATCTCGCGAACCGTTGATTTTACCGAAAATTTTAGATTATTTTATTAAAGAAGAAAAAATTTGTGACAGTTTAAGCCCAACAGCATGTATGTAGCGTAAATAATGGTCAAAATACAGACCATCAAAATAAATAAATTTTTAAAAGACGTATAAAAAATGTGGTTTTTTTCAATATTTCCACAATATAGTTGTTTGAAGCAAACACCGTATTGATTTAGAGAGTATACCTGTTTATTTGCTATTAATAGAAAATAAATGAAAGTATAAATAAAAATACCCCCACCTCAGCAAACCTGCAGACTAAGCGAATTTCCATTTGCTTGATTTGATTTTCACAAACCTTAAATAACATTAGGTTTAACTGGTACCTAGGTTTGCTGCTAGAGGGAGGTTAATATATTATATAAAATAATAATAGTATGATAATAAATAAATAAATTTACCCAATTTTATAAAAATGTGTCTATAAATAAGAAAAAAACAATAATTAAAAATCTTCGCTATTGGAATAACTTCAGGATTTTAATTTACATTTTTTAACCTTCTCCATAACCAATAACTGTAAAAAACATTTTAATGTAATAAATTTTTTTTTTTAAGCTCTATAAAATTCTTTAATGATACAATTGTAAAATTGTATGTTTTAAGGGTTAAAAATTAAAAAAAAATATTCTTGCCGGCGAAATACCTATAAGGCAACCATTCCTATGGCCTTATCATGCCGATCATACTTCGCAAAACAAAGTAAATGTTAAATAGTCTATCTCTTGATTCACAAATAAAAGTAATGTTTGTAACAAATTCCACTAAATCGGATGATTTTTTGGAATCATCGTGCTAACGGACGATAATAACTTTTTTGGATACAGTTTAGTAAAATCTTTGGCTTTTTTTGGATACAGGGTCTTAAAAAAACTCACATAGTTTGAAAATTTATTTTTTTATTGTACTAGATATAAACTACTGTTCAACGACTGATACCATAGAGAAGGCTATGCTGATACATTAAATGAAAGGTAATAAAATAAAAGTTATTTTAACTCCTTAAATGTTTATGTGTAAACATTTGACAGTTTTGGGAAGAGTAGTTTTGCCGTTGAAGGTATATTTTGAAGGTCTGTTTTTTGGCATGTAAACCTACATTTATTAAAACGAGTTCGCGAAGCATGATCAGGCCATGGGAACGGTTGCTTTGTATTGTTTTTTGTTTAGAACGGGTTTTTCATATTTTTGACCCTCAAAGCATACAATTTTACAATTGTATCATTAAAGAATTTTGTAGAGCTTAAAAACAAATAATTTATTACATTAAAATGTTTTTTACAGTTATTGGTTACAGAGAAAGTTAAAAAATGTAAATTAAAAACCTGAAATTATTCCAATAGCGAAGATTTTTAATTTTTGTTTTTCCCTTATTTATAGACACATTTTTATAAAATTGGGTAAATTTATTTATTGTCATACTATTATTATTTTATATAATATATTAACCTCCCTGTAGCAAAATCCAACAAACCTGTAGCAAACCTAGGTACCAGTTAAACCTAATGTTATTTAAGGTTTGTGAAAATCAAATCAAGCAAATGGAAATTCGCTTAGTCTGCAGGTTTGCTGAGGTGGGGGTATTTTTATTTATACTTTCATTTATTTTCTATTAATAGCAAATAAACTGGTATACTCTCTAAATCAATACGGTGTTTGCTTCAAACAACTATATTGTGGAAATATTGAAAAAAACCACAATTTTTATACGTCTTTGGAAAATTTATTTATTTTGATGGTCTGTATTTTGACCATTATTTACGCTACATACATGCTGTTGGGCTTAAACTGTCACAAATTTATTCTTCTTTAATGTAATAATCTAAAATTTTCGGTAAAATCAACGGTTCGCGAGATTGAGTGAAAAACAATAGGAATTGCCATATTTTTGATATTTCGATAACAAGTGGCGCGCCCCGCGGCGAGCGGCAGTATCTCGAGGTGGATAACTTTGATTTTATGTTATGGGCCCAATACTAACAACATATCCAAAAATCAGAACTACCCGACCTTTTGCACAGCAACCCCATTTTTTCTGACAGATTTACTGGACTAATTGTGAGTCATACTTTACTAAAACGTTGGTTGCTCCCCAAGTGTGGCTGGAGCTCAGTCCTACATGCGAGGAACGTGACTCGCACACCCACATTTACCACCATATGTGTTGCGAAAATAAAATGATTCTGGCAAGAGAGAAAATATATATTGTTTGCTATCATGTTACTTATAATTGTGACCTGAAGTCAAAAACATTAATTTAATTTATAACAAAGATAAAATTTTAAATATCGTCGTCATATTTCTGTGAGCTAGTGTTTTGATTATTCATTTTGTTAGGTTAACTTTTACAACCTGTACCACAATCTTTAGTCAAAATACTAGAAAGGAATAGTTTGCAGATAGTTTTAATGATCAAAATAGTTTTAAATGTTGTGAAATAACTAGCAAACATAAATATACACCCCTGCCCCAGCCAATCTGCAGACTAAAGCAAATTTCCATTTCCCTGATTGGTTTTAGCGAATTTCCCTATAGGGAAGTAGCTATTACCGTAGGTGGCACGGTAAGACCTAGACCCGGGACCGATTGACTTTTTCATTTTGATGTCCCCAGAGGCCAAAAACACCATTTGTTCAAATTTTTATATATGTATATATATACTTTATATATTACTTTATATATTTACTTGAGTGTTGCTTGCACTAAATGCGTCGGGGCGCTCCATTATGGTCCTCTAGGTCCCGACCTAGTGGAACCCAGATGGAGTGACGCTTAAACAAGCAGCCGGAATCCCTGGTTAGGATTGAGGGGCAACCCTCTTTCCGAAGGGTCTGCTTCGGCAGCCGGCGAGCCTGATGACCTTAAGTCATCCGCCCATGATGTGCTAAAGGTTGATGCGTAAGCTTCGGCCTACATCATGGGGCCCGGGTAAGTCTCACGACAGGTACCGGGTACGTAGTCAGGGGGCTTCGGCTCTCATGACAAATAATGTAATGTAATGTAATGTAAATGTAATGTAATATGTATATATATGTAGACTTATATATATATATATACGTCCGTGAACGCGATAACTTGAGTAATTTTTGTCCGATTTTGATGAAATTTGGTTTAAAGGTGTAAAGCGGGATAAACTTGAATGAGTTCGCGAACCAGCACGATCGGACCATGAGAACGGGGCTTTATGGGGGGTTTTATGGGGTAAAAATTGGTTTTTCTCACTTTTGACCCTCAAAACACAAAATTTCCCGATTTCTCTTTAGACCTTTTTAAAGAGCTTAAAAAAACAAATAATTTAGTATATAAAAGTATTTTTGTTCGATTATTAGTAACGGAGAATATTAAAAAAATTGTAAATTTAAAATTCCCATGTTATTCTTATGGAGAATATTGTCAAATGTTGTAGTTTGCTTGTTTATCGATATATTTTGATCAAACTTGGCAAATTTATTTATTTTGTACTAAGCTATCAATATTTTACTCAAAAACACACTTTATTAGTTTCTTTGTAGCAGCAAACCTAGGTACTCGTTAAACCTAATGTTATTAAAATATATTTAACTGAAAATCAATTCAGACAAATGGAAATTCGCTTAGTCGGCAGGTTTGCTGCGGCGGGGGTATTTTACTAAAATGTCTCTTTAAAGATGTCATATTTATTCCCTATTTAAATAACATCAGTTTAAAGGGTAATTAGTTTTGCTGTTACAAAGAAGCTAATAAAGTGGTTTTTAGTGAAATGTTAATAGTTTAGAATGAAATAAATAAATGTTCCAAATTTTATAAAAATAAGTTTATAAGCAAGTAAACTACAACAGTTTACTAACTTATTCTCCATAAGAATAACATAGGAATTTTACATGCACAGTTTTCTGAAATTTTCTCCTTTCAGCGCAGAACAAAGCTTCAATAAACTAAATTATTTGTTTTTTAAGCTCAACAAAATGGTTTAAAAAGATATCGCAAAATTTATGTTTCTAGTGTCAATAATGGGAAAAACAATTTTTACCCTATAAGACCCCTGTATTACTCCCTGGCAGGCAGATTTTTTGAAGGACTATGAAGTAATTCACAATTAATTTATGTGAGGTATGACTCAGATTGTTTCCGCCGTTTTTGTCTCTGACATCGCTTCAAGATTTGTGTAAGCTTTTGATTGGTTAAAACTCCAGTGTATACATCAGTAATCAGATAATTTGTAATTTTCTATCAATTTTATAATTTTCCTGTTGTTATTTTTTTGCAACTTTTTAGTTTTACTTTTTTTTATTTATCTATTGCCCATGCATCTGTTTACCATTGCCTTTGTGATGAAGAATGTTTTTATGCAATAAAATACTTGTGTCTATGACGTGTATACTCAATGCTATGACTTATGAGCACTAATACTATAATTGTAATACTTTAACTCTGCATACTGTAGGTAAGTGTTTCTAATTCACTAACGGTGATTTAATTCAGGTCGCTGTTGCCTTCTGCGTGGGTGCAACATCTAAACCTGAGGTGGCTTCTGCGATCTACCAAGAGGTTGAAACCTACGGAGACATCATACAAGGGAACTTCATCGACTCCTACGACAACCTAACTCTGAAGACAGTGTCAATGTTAGAGTGGATCGACAACTACTGTCCACGTGCCAAGTTTGTTCTAAAAACTGACGATGATATGTTCATAAACGTCCCAAAGTTGTTAGAGTTTATCGACACACACGACAAATCTCAAAGAACCATATTCGGTAGGTTAGCGAAAAAATGGAAACCTATCCGAAACAGTAGGTCCAAGTATTACGTTTCGTCAAACCAGTTTTCTGCCCCGATTTTCCCAGATTTTACGACAGGACCGGCGTATTTGTTAACAAGTGACATCATACATGAACTTTACGATCACGCCTTGGACACGACCTACCTCAAACTAGAAGACGTGTTCACCACGGGAATCGTAGCTCAATCGCTCAACATCAAAAGAGTACATATAAACGAGTTCCTAAATAAAAGAATTCCTTTTAACGTGTGCAATATTAAGAAAGGTATCAGTATTCACATGATAAAATGCCACGAACAATTTGACTTGTGGAAAAAATTATTAGACGGAAGGGCGAAATGTAAGTAAAAATCTTAAACGATACAAAAAGTTAGTGCCTGTCAACAAAAACTGTGTTACTACAATATTGCATTTAAATCACACACTTTTATAAATGAAAGTGCAATTCCCCTCACTCGAGTGATTAGTTGTAAGACACTTAAGCTTTTAAATGTTTTTTGTAAATCTTTGTGCGTGTCGGTCCCAGTTGTCTGTGTGTAAATATGTATAGTTGGTGCCATAATACAGATAGGCCAATACGCTGCTGTATATACATTTTAATTGTGGCTTAATCGTGCACTCGTCCCGTAAGTTTTTGTAATGGATATTGGCTTAATAAACACAATTTAGTTAGTTTGTAACAAATTTTTGTTTGGAAGATTTTATTGAGAAATTAGTTTTAAATTATATTTTTATACATCACTTTTACACCATATACACTAAGAGCTTAACACTTTGCAGATCACATTGAATGTACGGTCGGTTTTGAAACACACGTCACGTTATTGCTGTAGTTTATTTTATATTTATTTTGAGCAATGCCATCGTTTTAGTGGCATAGATTTTATTTATTGAATATTACAAACAAAATGTCTTTAAATGAACAAATTTTACATATGATAGTGAGTTAAATAGTTTTAATGATAATGTTAGTTTCCTATAGGTAGGCCTATATTAATATTTACATATTCTTTTATATGGGGCAAAAACAAAAAGATATCGCTTACTTGACTGGAATTTTTCTAAATAATTAATTAATTTTGTATGTAACACGAGTGATTTGCTATACAAATGCTGTTGAATTATTTTTCTAAAACGTCTTGTCACCAAGATTTTTAGCATCAGTATGTTTTATAAACCAAAGTTCAAGAACTAAATACATGTGTTCTTAAAATAAAGTCATTATTTTTTCAAAATCAATTTACTGTAGCAGTACAATTTACATAATATATTTGTGTTAGTGTATATTTAAGAATATTAAAAAAGCCAACTCAAATCATGAACCTTAACATTTATTCAAGTCTGAAATTTGAATACCTAAAGGTTGTGCTGTCACTTTGAGTTTAAAATATTTGGAAAACAATTCTAATCTTTGATTTAGTTTTTGTACTCTGAATATCGTCATATGCCTATTTCTTAGTGTAACTTTTAATGTCTGTAAAGATGATAGAAAGAGAACCTCTTTTAAAATGGCATTTTCTTTCTTGTACACCTACCTCAGTTTGAAAAATATGATGTTTTCTTTAATATTGGAATATCATTAAACATCAGTAAAAGTTGATAATGTTTAGACCACTTGTTTACTGATATTAAAATCTGTTGTATCTAGTTTACCAAAGTGAAGCTTCTTGATATACTGCCTTTTATTGGTGCCTCACATACAATAAATATTGACCTAAAACTACTAAAATTAATGACTGAAGCTATATGCTGTATAGCGATAGTCCAACACTGCCTTTAGGTTTTCAAAATTCAGATAACACAATATTTTATTGTTGTATATTTAAAATGTGCTTATTGTCTATGAGTATTATATGTGACCATTTCCTCAGTATTATTTAAAATTGATTACTCAGTGTTGTAATATACAGTATATATATAAATTGGTTTCAGTTAAATTAATTTGTTATAAGAGGCTCAATTAATAGAGATTTATAACTAAGGGAGACGCTGTTTTTAGTCATGCTTTAGGCTAAAGTGTAAATGTGTTGTTTTATTCTCTCTATTTTATCAATTTTGTCTCCTTATCTCTTAATGATATTCAGTTTTGCATGTTTTATGTGTTCAAACAAAGCCAGTGTAATGTCTAACAAAATCCTCTTGTAATAATTTATTGAGAGCCAATATTAGCTGGCAAAATAATATCTTCGTTTAAAGATAAGTTTTAAATCTAAAAATCACCTAAATAGACACATTTACTTACCAGTCAGAAAACAATATGGTGCTTATATTTTGTTAAGTAATGAACTGTTGTGAAAGAGTTCTGAATTGTTGGAAGATTTAAATATTTTTATAACCCTACATAATAAAGGGATTCGTTTACTTAGTTTGTAACCATTGTTATTTGAATTGTCTTACAGAGCGGAGTGTAATATAAAATTTAGTGGGGTTTTTAGTTATTTTTGTATATTTGTTACTTTTTTTTATAAGTTTGCTATCATGCATAGAAATTTGCAAAACTGTGTAGCTAAGAGGAATAGTGTTCGTTTTGTCCGTTAAGTTGTATAATTTGATCAAACTTCTCACAAAGTTCCCTGGTTGTGTCTAAAATCAAGTTAAAACTATTTTGAGAGTTGGTTTGATTGATTATAGTCAAAGCTTATTTTTCAATTCCGAAGGTGATGATTTAAAACACTATTTAGAACCTATAGCCAAGCTTAACAGTTTGACTGAGAAAGTCTTAGAACATGTTAAGGCAACTTGCCTGTAATCTTAGGTTTTAATTAAAAATGGGTCAAATCAAGTCCAAAATGTTGACACATCACATAATATTCTCATTATGTTTATATATCATAAGATAATTGTTTGTTCCTATGTTTCCCTCATGACATAATGGAAACAATTTCCTGAAATACACAATTTAAATTTTTAAGAGTTGTGTTTTTAGTCATGGCTAAGCTTCACCCAATCACTGTGTATATCTGTATAATCATCAATAATTAGTAGATTTATTTTCCTTAATCATTGAGAATAAAAATAGTTTTATTATTTATTGATTTATCTGTTTGTTGGTTTTACTGGTTGAAATATATTCTAGAGCAAAATCAATTACGTAAGCCAAATTTACATTAGGTGTTATCTGTACATTTTAATGTATCTTGGTTCTAAGTGTTTGTTATAGCATTTGCTGCTGTACTGTCAAAGTGTATGTTAGTTGAGTAGCCAAGTTGGCTTGCTCACTTCTTGAAGTGAACGTTGTCAGTTTGGTGTTAATAAAAGACTGAAGCCCCATTTTTAGGCTTGAAATTGGATTTCATATAAGTTCTATTATACTAAACCTTAAGCAAAGAGTAATGCTGGACTAGACAAGCAACTGGTCTCAATAGCTTTGTTATGCACGGTGTAAAGTTTCCACATTAATATGCATAAGTGGTAGCATAATTTAACAATGATATAATTAATTTAAAAATGTGTTTAAAATGTTAAGATTTGCAAATACCTCAAGTTTATGGAAGCTATAAGTCAGTGTTAGTTATTCAAAACTACTTAGGTTTTTTTATATAAAAAATAAATGCTAGATAGTCAAGCCAAAATTTTTCTTCAAATGAAACCTGAGAAAACATTAAGATTGACCCATGATTTTCAATTCTCATCTTCTAAATTCTTGTAGCTTAGGATTCTATAATTCAATTTGATAAGGGTAACCATTTGACCAATCATTCTATTTAAAGACTAACTTTAAAAGACGTACAATGTCAAATGCTATAATGAAACTTACATAACTTTCCAAACCTAATTGTTTATATGATGATGTTGAATATTTTTAATTGTTTAGTATCAAATGAATGGATTATTATTTTAGTGTCTTCTCTAATGAGAATAAAATTAAAGGTGAAACCGATCTTTTCATACTTCCGATGTATATAATGTACTATTTTAAATATTTTATATTTTGTAACTTATAACATTTGTATGACCATTAAATTGTAATATTAAGCTGGATGGTGGTGTTTTAATTAAATGTTCCCAAATACAGTAAGAGTCTCGATTTATCCAATCTTAAAATCTAGGATTATGTGGCCTTCCTTGTTATTTGACCCTCCTTGCAGATGATTAAGTACCATGACATCGTGTGCTATCTCTGTGTGGTTGAATGTACAATATAGTGAGTATGTTGTGACATCCCTTTTGCCACCCCTCTCTGCATCCAGAAAAACGCAACAGGATTTAGGCACCTGCACTTGACACCATTAGCACCTTTAGCGGCTGGTAGGCCGGGCTGCACGTGTGAGTGAGGTCGCTCTAATTGTCCAAGGTGCACGAGACTGGACGAATTATAACTATCAAAATAAAAAAAATAAAGGAGAAAATGTAATTTTAGATGGTAGCTCATTCTGTGAGTGGCTCATTCACCTTTTTAATAAAAATTTCTATGGCTGATCTACAAGTATATAGATGGCATCCAAAAGTCAATAACGAAAATTATTTTGTTTTTTTTTTCATTCAATTAACATTGCCATTTTAATTTTAACACCCAACAGCCAAGTAGTGCACACTACAAAGCAAGAGTAGATAAGTTGTCTTTTGTAGCTGTAATAGGTTAAATTAGTATTTGTAGTGTTCATTAATCTAACTCCCTCCCGGTGTCTCATGTTTTAATGTTTTATATTATCGAGAATCAACTGAATTGTAAGTATAGGGAAGGTAGGGACTGACAATTTACTGTACACACTAGGTAAAGATTTCCTTTTTCAAACTCCCAAAGTTTAACAGGTGTCAGGCTCGAGTCTAGGTTATCTTTGGAGCATGAAGGATACCTGACCCCCACAGAGGTCAGACTGAGTGGTAGAGGTCAAAGGGTAAACTTCGAAGAGGCAAGGAGGAATCAAGGTTGCAAAGAAAGCTGTCTACACTTGTTAGCATAATGGCTTATCAGTTTTCATCTTTGTCTCTTTGTTGCACCCATCGATGACTAGACTGTAAAAAATGTCAAAGAATGGTCGAGTGTAGAGCTAAAAGCCATTCCTTTTATGTGTATTTTATCATACAAATTAAATGTGGTAGTTATACTTTTTCAATTATATCCTGAAATAGGCTGTTCATCTTCTTACTTAACTTTATTGTATTCACTTTGTAATAAAAGATTCAAATCTTGGAAACTTTGATTTAGCGCTAGTCCGTCGTATTGTTGATACTGTGGGGTTGAAACACCAAATGAGTGTTTCAGATGTGATATCAGACTATAGTGTGAAGCCCCCTTTACCAGTAGTGGACACAAAAATGGTCCAGTGTCGGGACGCTCACAATTGTCTGAGAACTGACTAATTGTGTGTTATACTATAGTTGGTATTTGTTTCAAAATTATGACGATAATAAGTGTTCAACAGAGAAGACAGAAGGTTTTACAATGAGGCAACTCATTTAGCTCAATTAAATAACTAGAATAATAATTAAATGGTTCCAAACTACAGTATCATTACTACCATTATGAGGTGGGGACGCCACATAGGTGCGTATTTACCCAAATATGAGTGTAGAATGGAGTTTGATGATCTATGTAGCTTTAATAATGAATAAGATCACCTGTTTCATCAGTCATTATTTATTTAAAGCATGACAATTGAATCAAGCCTGATTGAAAGCAATGATCATGGACAGCTGGGTCCAGTTTTGAACCATCAAAAAGCTACTAACCCTTCTCAAGATTTTACTGGTGTCCTTTTGATTGTTAGGCGAGCACTTTAACCACTCAGCTACCCAGCCTAATGTATTATTACCTATTGTATTACCCAAATTAACAACTCTCAAAACATTTTGAATACTTTTTTCTTTAAATACTATACAGTTCTTTTAAACTCCTTTATCAGCATAGCCTAGCTCTCAAAGGTTTGCCTATATTACCTAACACATGTCACCTTCCCTCCACACCGTTCAGCGTGTCTCTTTGAGTATAATAATATGCCTAATATTTTTTATCCCTTAACGTAGCATTTAAGCCAACCCTGATGAGGCCCAGATAGTCTAATGGTTAGATCAAGGTACTTCTGGCCGTAAACTGCTATATTAATCCTGATAAAACTTTGGTATATTTGACTTTTCAAGAAAAAATGTGCTCTGGCATTGTTGTAGGGCTGCCGGTCTTCCTGCCACATGGCAGATGCGCCCTCAAGAAAAATGGTACCTGGCGACCTCAGGGCGCCAAGTGTAGTAAATCCTTGTTACCTCCGTGATCAATCAAAATGGATCTGAACATTTTTATGGTGTCAGCAACTAGTTTTCCTCTTCGGAATCCTTGCAGTAGGTGACTTTAATGAAATTTATTATATCGCCGTAATGGTGCAATAGTGATGTGTAGTGCACTACAGACTAAACGCAACATTTCCATTGATGAACACAATTCATGCTTTGTAGGGCAATACAAGCAAGCTTCGTTGCCGAGTCTGGCAAACTTGGTATTGGTCGGTGGACGTTGATTAGTATTATTTTCATATTCGTATTTATTGCACTGTATGGAGCAAAGTGAGTAGCAACCTTGATTGTAGTTCATATTTCCATCACCGCTAGTACGAGTGCACTGAACGCTGAATTTACACGTGTGCGCCCTGTGGTGCAGAGTTCAAAAGAATTTTACAGGTCTAAAGTCACTTACTGTTATATTAAGTTACTTACTACACCGTAATGTTAACCGAACTGTAATTTACAAAAAATGTAATTAAGTTATGTTATTGTACATGTATTATAATACACTATTGTATGTTCTTTTTACACTGGGTGACCCACAATTACTCCCCATCCCCTCTCAGCTCTTCCTCTTGTTTTTGTCATTAAAATCTTAGCAAATAGCAATAAAGAATCTTAAGAAACGAAATACTGTCCTACTTAGGACAGACAAATGAGGACATTTAAGTAGACCTATAGTTAAAAATTTACTTCAAGCAAAAAGTGTTATTAGAACAGTAAAAAAAATGCACAGATTTGTATACAAGCTTTGCAAGTGTAGAAAATATCATAAAAAACTATTAAAGGTAGTAAACTTTCAAACATTTTCCGGGGAAGGACCCCCGGACTCCCCATTCCTATGGGGGTGTACCCCCCTGGGCACCCTTAAGGCCAAACTTGGTGCCCTCCTTGTGGTGCCAGTCCGCCCCTGAGGGCAGCCAATAGAAATCAAACTTCCTTAGTAAATTTTCAGTTGATTTGTTCTTTATGTTAGTTACTATCAATTTTCAATTTCAATTATTACTCATTGAGATGGGTACACCACCTGGGTATTTATTTGAACTCAAATATGAGTGAATGATGAGTGTAATGGAGTGTGATGATCTGTGTGGCTTTTTTACTGACTAAGATAAGCTGTTTCATTAGCCGGGATCATTTATTAAAGCCCAATAATCAGGAACAACTGGGTCCAGTTTCGAACCATCAAAAAGCTACTGACTTTTCTCAGGCAGGATCAAACTGATGACCTTTTGATTGTTAGGCGAGCACTATAACCACTCGGCTACCCAGCCAATCATAAAGTTTGTTTCAAGGGTGATCTAAAATGCTATTGAGTGGGTGAATGGGCAAAGCACACTGTTTTTTTTTAATTTATTGAAAAACCTAAAATATGTATCTCGGTTAAAAGGAAGTAGTGAGGCTTGAGGTGTGTAGAAAAAGCAAGATTAGCTCTTAGAGATTAGGTTACTTCAGTTTCTTAAATCTTGATGTCACTCTAGTCTAGACTAGACTACACTCAGATGAACTTTCATTCTCTTCAAAGAAGGCGAAAGAGAGCCAGCGCCTTCTTCATCAAAGTGTAGAACAAGTGAAATTATACTATATCCCTGATCATTTTTTAATTTAAATTATGCATTTACATTTTTAGATAATGTATTCCTTTTATTTATTTTGTGAACCATGTATAGTCTATAATGTTTATAAAATATTATTAAGTTTGTATCTACACCATTACACTCGCGGCTCACATATGACTAGATTTTCTCTCATGCCACACATTTTGATAATCTAAAATCGAAATAAGGGACTGCTTAACCCTCTTGCATCTCTTACAGCTAACACACATCTATACAAGATTGTCCGCGCTACCCCCATTACCTCCCACAAAATACCCCTGCCGCAGCAAACCTACCAACTAATTGAATTTGTCTGAATTGATTTTAAATTAAATCTATTTAAATAACATTAGGTTTAACGAGTACCTAGGTTTGCAGCTACAAGGAAACTAATAAAGTGTGTTTTTAGTAAAATATTAATAGATTAGTATAAAATAAATAATTTTTCGAAGTTTTATCAAAATATATCCATAAACAAGCAAACTACTACATTTTACAATATTCTCCATCTGAATAACATGGGAATTTTAAATTTACAATTTTTTTTATTTATCCGTTACCAATAACCATACAAAAATACTTTGGGAAACTAAATTTTTTTTTAAGCTATTTAAAAAAGTGTAGATTGAAATTGGGAAATTTTGTGTTTTGAGAGTCAAAAATTAGAAAAACCATTTTTTACCCCGTAAAACCCCGTTCCCATGGTACGATCATGCTGGTTCGAAACTCATTCAAGTTTATCCCGCCTTAAACCTTCAAACCAAATTTCATCAAAATCAGACAAAAATTACCCAAGTTAATTGTGTTCACGGACACATATATATATATATATATCAACTTCAAACATCTAATGTAATAGAAATTTGATGAGCATTTTCTATAAAATGTTTTTATAAGTGTATATGTACACACATATGTGGTATTCAACTATCATCTATTTTATACATACATCACAATTTGAACTAACATTATTTTTGTCTAAATTGAAATTTTACCTTCGTCAGCCAGCTCCTGATTTGTTATCAACTTGTTACGGCCGTTTCAGCATCACTGTGCCATCGTCGGACTGTTCAGCCAAAAGGCGTCGTTAAAACACAAACACATATTTACACGAAACACACACATATTTGTCAAAACGGAGTTTTGAAAAACAGGCCTGTTGAGGATAGTACATTCCCGAACCCGAGCAAGTAGCTGACTGATTTCAATTTAGTTATAGAACCAGCTCAGGGGCTAGAAAATATGGATTATAATTATTTTTGTCTTTTTGAGACCTTAAAAATAAAAAGTACTGGTCCCTGGCCTATATCTTACCACAAAAACGACGGTAAAACAATAACTACTTTTTATAGAAAAGCTTACTAAAACAAATTTTAAGCATTATGTATAGTTATGACTCAAGAGTAAATATTATGTTGGCATATAAAAAAAAAATTGTGATCAATGTATAACTTAATGGTTAAATGAATAACCACATTGTAATTGTAAGTGGTTCTAGATATCGGTACTTTAGTTTAGTAAACAGGATTAATCATCTGATAGGAATGCCTAATCAGCAACAATGCAAAGGTAAGCTATAGTGGTTACGTCAAACTGATAAAGAAAAGTTGACAACGCCTTTCCTGTAACTATAGCACCACACCACCATGTGTCTTATTATTTTAAGAGTTGTAGATCCTACACATCAAACACACACAGATGGATATACAGGGTGTTCATTTGAAAACTTTCCATATCTGTTGTGTGCACAGGTAAGGCTTTTAACACTTGTTTGTTCTCATTTTCCCCTAATTTGGACATGCCAAATCCAATAAAATTATTTTCAATTTCGAAAAATGCCCCAAAAGGGCCCAATTTGGGGGGTAGGGGTGCTTTTTGAGAAATTTTCAAATGTAAACATGGGTTGTGTGATACATCAATTTAAAGGTCTAATTGCCCCGACTATTTTGGTGGAATAAAAATGTAATTATCTTTAACCGTATTTACAGGGTGGGTCAAAACGTTTTAAAAAAGGACTTTGAAGTTAAGTACCGTATTACCCGAACTACTGAACGGAACAGCTCCAAATTTCTTTCCAAGCTTATTCTTGATCTACTCTTTAAGATAACTTGTAATAAGGGCATTTTCCATGTTATTTTCTAATTTTTAAAAAATCTCAAATTTTAAGAATAAAAGAAAGCTGAAAACTCAAAATTCTTAAATAGCAAGGTATAACAAATTTCATACCACGTGAAAGGTCCTTTTTTAACAAACATTTTACGTATTTAAGTTTTCTTTCTATCTCTTACCGTTTAAAAATTGCAGTAGAAAAACTGAATTTTCTATGGTAAAATTATAACTAGTTTTCTAACAAAACACATTGCACTTTGCTCAACGATGTATTATGATTAATTACAAATTGATCAACTACTTTTACTTGTGTCAGTTCATCTTGGACCCTTCATCCTGTTCTTTTCTCATTGGTAACTGAGCCAGTTTCAGAAAGTTCTTAACTAAATCATTTACAGCTTTATGACTTAAGGTCTTACCTGGATATTTATTGTTAAACACTTTGCAGTTATCCTGAAACACTTTTGTTCTGCCCAATAAGTAAAAATAAAGTCTATTTTTTTAAGTGTACACCATATTCGATTAGATACTACAGAAAATAGTACTTTTTGAAATTAGTACTACCATTTACTAGTCAATGGTACTACAGAAAGCGGTCCACATGTAGGTTGTCCTCATCAGCTATAAGACTTGTTTTTCACAAAGTAAAACGTAATGACTTGTTTGTCAATCAGGGTATCAATAATCATGAATTGTTTCCTTCAGTTAATGCACCATTAAATGTGTCTAGAGACGAATTTTGTCTGTTTTATTAGAAAACTAGTTGCAATATTACTATGGAAAATTCAGTTTTTCTACTGCAATTTTTAAACGGTAAGAGATAGAAAGAAAACTTAAATACGTAAAATGTTTGTTAAAAAAGGACCTTTCACGTGGTATGAAATTTGTTATACCTTGCTATTTAAGAATTTTGAGTTTTCAGCTTTCTTTTATTCTTAAAATTTGAGATTTTTAAAAAATTAGAAAATAACATGGAAAATGCCCTTATTACAAGTTATCTTAAAGAGTAGATCAAGAATAAGCTTGGAAAGAAATTTGGCGCTGTTCCGTTCAGTAGTTCGGGTAATACGGTACTTAACTTCAAAGTCCTTTTTTAAAACGTTTTGACCCACCCTGTAAATACGGTTAAAGATAATTACATTTTTATTGCACCAAAATAGTCGGGGTGATTAGACCTTTAAATTTATGTATCACACAACCCATGTTAACATTTGAAAATTTCTCAAAAAGCACCCCTACCCCCCAAATTGGGCCCTTTTGGGGCATTTTTCGAAATTGAAAATAATTTTATTGGATTTGGCATGTCCAAATTAGGGGAAAATGAGAACAAACAAGTGTTAAAAGCCTTACCTTTGCACACAACAGATATGGAAAGTTTTCAAATGAACACCCTGTATATATACTGTATATTTTCTTTATACATGAAGGCTCTCTATATACAGAGTGTATATAAAGTCCCGCACATGCTTTATATTTTCTAAACGACAACAAGAACCCCCCTTATTTTGATGAACATATCAACCTATGCTCCTATTTAAGATTTCCTTCTGACTCCTTGTGGGACATCCCCATGATACAACAGAAAACTGAAAGTTCTTTCAAAAAGTAGATTTTTAGGTGCCGTTTTGATTTAGCAAATCTCATTGATTTATCTGTTATCGTTTAGAAAATATTAAGCCCGTGCGGGACTTTATATACACCCTGTATAAATAAGAAAATTCTACCTAAATTTCAAGTTCAAGATAAAACTGTACATACAAAAGGTTCTTATATAAAACCTATAAAACTATAAAACTCACTGTAGGTTAGCAATAAAATCAATTAGATATTCATACCACCTTAATAGATTTGTTTTACCTTTACCTAAAGTCTTGGATTTAACTTAGACCCCTTTACCCCCATGAACTCACACCTCAGATAAGAACTACACCACACATCAAACATAAAACAAACAGCTGATTTAAGTTAATAAAACTGTAATATTTAAAAAGTCCACAAACCCGTTCTATAGCATTTATTTACAGTTAAACCCTTGAAATATACAACCAAACACCTGATAAATACAAATATTGTTTATGGAAACAACAAACAAACTACTAGCAAAATAAATACCCCCGCCGCAGCAAACCTGCAGACTAAGCGAATTTCCATTTGCTTAATTGGATTTACACTAAAATGTCTCCTTAAAAATATCACATTTATTTCCTATTTAAATAGCATTAGTTTAACGAGTACTTAGGTTTGCTGTAACAGGGAGGGTAAAACGGTTTTTTTGTAAAATGTTAATAGTTTAGTATGAAATGAATGCAATTTCCAAATTTGATCAAAATATGTTCATAAACAAGCAAACGACAACAGTTTATTTATTCTCCATAAGAATAACATGGAATTTTAAATTTACAGTTTTTTGGAATTTTCTCTGTAACCATTAGGCGCATAATAACGCTTCAATATACTAAATTATTTTTTTTAAGCTCTACAAAATGGTTGGGAAAGAAATTACTAAATTTTGATTTTTTAGGGTCAAAAATGGGAAAAACCAATTTTTACCCCATAAAACCCCCCATTGACCCCCGTTCCCATGGTTGGATCATGCTGGTTTGCGAACTCGTTCGAATAAATGTAGGTTTACACGTTTATGCCGAATTTCATCAAAATCGGATAATTTTTGCTCGAGTTATCGCGCTAACGGTCACATATATGAATATATATATATATGAATTATAACGGATGGTGTTTTTGGCCTCTAGGGACCTCAAAACGAAAAAGTAAATCGGTCCCGGGTCCAGGTCTTACCATGAGTACTACGGTAATAGCTTATTCCCTATAGGGGAAATTTGCTAAAACTAATAAATTTATCTATATCTAAACAATATTGTTAAGTGCAGTTCTCCCCATCGCAGCAAACCTGCAGGCTAAGCAAATTTCCATTCACCGCCTGTTTAGTTTTTCACTAAAATATTTCCTTAAACATGTCAGATCCATCCCTATTTTAATAACATTAGGTTTAACTACTACTAAGGGTTTCTGCTGCAGGGAAGGAAATAAGGTGGGTTTATTTGGTGAAATTTAATCCATACAAAGTGGCCTTGTACTCTCAGAGCCGTATCAGCACTAACAGACTTTGTATCTTTTCTTTTTCATTTTAACAAATTTACCTCTGTCTATGTAACATCAGCACTCCTTTCAGATGATTAGTGCAGATTGTATATATCAATTCTGGAACACAATTGCAGTGTTTCCCAACATATTTACTCAATAAAATATTGTAGTGAATTAAATATTTTCTCTAACTTTTTAAAGTCTTATTATATCCATCCACGTTTTATATTTGTACTTTATTTACCTCTATATATTTATTGAATATAAATAAATATATCTTGTAAAACAGTGTTTCTTGTAGAAACAGATTTGTATAACGTGTAAATGTGTGTTCGTGTTTGCATACATCACACCATATAGGGCCTACCGCCACATTTGTAACGTCATATCAAGTAATATTTTAATAAATCCCCATTAAGCCATACCTGTGTGTTCAGCGTATCCTTTACCACTATACCAGTCTCCAGTCTGTCCTAGTCCAGCGATTGTTTCACCTCCCGGTCTCTGTTACAATCTGGTAAACAACACTTTTTTTTAATGTTAAAGTTCATTTCCCCTTTATTTTGACTCGTAAAATCATTTCCCTGAGATTGGCTGTTAACTTACTGGACATCATTTAAATTAAATAATATTATATTTTAATTCCGTTGGCAGTTATTTAATTCTCTATTAGAGGAGGAAGGCACTCTCTTTACATTCTTGACAGGGGTATTTCTTAGCTGCTAGTAGTCTCTCCTGTGAGTGCGTGCCTGTGGTAAAAAAGTCAACTTGTTCAGAAATTGTTGGGCATGGATTGATTTCTTCATTGTTTTGTGCACAAGCACAATCACGGGCCACGACCCAGAGTGTCATTCGATTTAACAACTTTGCCACTCCTTTGATGATCAAATACATTGCCACGCAGAATAAAACCATTGCAATGGTGAAGATAATGTAATCTGGAACAAAACATTTTGAATCAAATCAAAAATTGTAATTCATCAGCAATTTTTAAAGAAACTGATCTTGCTAAATGAATCGTAAAAAACAAACTGCATTCACTAATCAAAATTTACTATTATGTAGAACTACGTTTCTCACATGAAGTATGTCCCTAATTTTAAAATATTGATTCTGACACGAATTTGGACTTGGGGCTAGGAGAAGGGCTCTGTTTGGTCTATTTTTTGTGAATATATTCCACGATTTTATTCTCTTAGAAAATCGTCTTAAAAAATGTCAGAATTTCTTTCCTTCTGATAATTTAGTACATCCCTCTTCACACTCTTGTCTAACTCACAGTTAGTTGTTGAAGATGTGCAATAATTTGCAATTGAATTAACTATTTTGAATGATTACCTTTAATACTGATGAAATAGCGACGAACTGGAACTACCTGTCCCTTGTCTTGGAGGGATGGCCTCTCCCTAATGACAAGAGCTGGAGACATGGTTGTCATGAAAGTTACTAGCAGACCGGATTTGATGAATTTTGACATCATTGTCACCTTTTGCGCTTCTAACCTGAAATAGGTAACTATAACTAACCAAGTTCAAAAAGTTTCCTGTTTAGCCCTAATACTGTAGCAGAGATAGTACATCACTTTTATAGCGTCAGGTTCCATTACCTACTTTCTGCCCCATCTCTCAAACTTTTTTATCGATGGCAAAAATGTTAAAAGGCTTTTATAGTTGGACAACAGTATGCGTTCATATGTTGCCATCCGCCTGACTGAACGTATGCACACACTGTGACACTGATCCAACGAAATATATGACCACTCTGTGAAACTGGTCTGTCCGTGAAACTGTGGTGAGTACTGTATGTACACACCATGACACTAAACCGACAAAATGTGTGCACACACCACAATGCTAATCCAATGAAATGTATGCACAAACCACGACGCTGATCCGACCAAATTTGTGAACACACCGTGACACTGGTCCGACCAAACATATGCACACAGCGCAACACTCTTCCAACAAAACTAATGTGCACACCGAAATACTGATCCGACAAATTGTAGGAACACACCACAACACTGGTCTGACAAAAGGCATAAACACACCGTGACACTGGCCAACTAAACTAATGCACACACCAAGACACTGATCAGACAGAATTTTCAGACTGATCAGATTTTAAGGGGAGGGATGCTAGGATGAGATTTTAGGGGGGAATTTATTTTTCATATTGCCATTAATAATTAATAAAGTTTTTTATGAGTAGCTTGAAAATATGTTTTTTTGTGAAATTCATACACTGTTATAACACTTGCAACATAATTTTGGCTTTTCATAATTAAAATTTTATTCCTCTCAACAACTGGATGTCAACGCAACCGCGACCGCGGGGCAACATCAAGATATTGCCGCGATAACGGGAGGCGGTGAGTAAATTTTTACTACTGCGGAAGGATGTCAAGATATTGTCGTGGACATCAGAGATGATGGTGATTTATTTGCGACCACGGAGGGATATCAAGGTATTCACACAATCCCGAGAGACGATGGTGATGTTTTCACGACCACTGAGGGATGTCAATATATTGCCGAATTCTCGAGAGATGACGGTTATTACGATAGCAGGTGGTGATGATGCCTGTGCTATCGTAGAATGATGTCAGGATGTTGCCCCGATTATGGGAGGCGGTTATGATAACTATGAGGCTAGAACACTAGCTAATAAATGATTCTATTCTTTCATTTATTCATTCATTTATTTCCTTTATTAGGGGGCTGTGTACCACCAGATTTGTTTACTTATGAGTCAGGTAAAAAATGTCACCTTCGGGTCTTGGGCTGAAATCAGGTCGGTTCGAAAACGGATTGCTTTGGAAAGAGTTGATTTTAAATAGAGATATCAATTTTTGAGCCGAGCCGAGCCTGGCCTACAAGCTTGAGAGATCCAGCACAAAGTTAGAAAATTAGAAAAGTTAGTTAGAAAATCCGTGATCGCAGATTTCGGCGAGAGCGTTCCCCCGCCTGTGACGATGACGATGTCTCCGTGCCCACGGGAGGCGTTCAGGATATTGTTGCGATAGAGGAAGACGATATTAATGTTTCTGTGATAGTGCGTGATTATCAAGATTTTGACGCCATCGCAGAAGACCATGATGACGTATCTTCTTGCCCATAAGATACTATAAGGATTCTGCTGCGTTATTTGGAAAGAAATTATATGTATCCATCAACGCGGCAAATACTAGAGATTTGGCCGCAATCGTGGTAGACGATGTTGTCTACACGTTTGCAGGAGATGTCCTATGTTTGGTTGCAATCACTGTAGACGATGATAATGTTTTTGTGACTGCGGGAAGTATTCACGACTTTGCCACAGTCACGGAAGGCGATGATAATATTTGCGTGACAGAAGTGTCCTATGAAGATAATCAGGATTTTACCGCGATCATGGAAGACGATGATGACACCTCTCAGGAGATGCCGTGCCAAGCCTAAGTTCAACTTTAAATGGAAATACCTATGATAATGTTTTAAAATATTATTGGGAGAGGGGGCCCTATGTATAAACTTGCAGGGGGCCCACAGGTTCCTATCGCCGCCCTCTCTACACCACGACACTGGTCTTTCCAAAGGTATGCACACACAGCGTACGCAAACGCTGATCCGATTAATCTACAGTTTCTGTGATATGTATCTAATTGTGAATGTTTTCAGTGTTCAATGTTAAATTGTATATACAGCAAATCATAGAATAAGATTTTTCTTGAGGTGCCCATACCCAGGTCAGGGGCCCAAATAATGGGTTGATAAAAAATCTCTTTAATGAGCTAATAGCCATCATCCCATCAATAATCGTTTCCACCTTCAACAAAGTTGATTCATTAATGGAAGAACCCTACTGGAAACGGGGTCAATAAAAAAATAAAACCACAATAGATTATCTAAAAAGAAAATAAAGAAATTGCATGGGCTGAAATTTACTAAAATCTCCAAATTGGCCAAATTTATTGAGATGATTTGCTACTGAGATTCCAAAGTCACTAGGGAATAAAGTAACATGTTAACTGGGCGACACATGTATCACTATAAGTGCTGAGATTTTGTCGCACAGTAGCTATGGCCACCATATTATTTTTATGATTCACATTTAAATTTCATCGGAGTTTAAAATGTATTTAAATACCCCCGCCGCAGCAAACCTGCAGACTAAGCAAATTTCAACTTGTCTGGTTAATTTGTTAATAAAATATTTCCATAAATAAGACATATTTATCCCAAAATTTAAATAACATTAGATTTAACGAGTGCTTGGTTTGCTGCTACGGGGAAAGTATAACGTGTTTTTTGACCATAGATCAATAGGATGAAATAAATAAATATGCAAAATTTTATCAACATACATCCATAAACAAGTAAACTATAACTAATTTTATTTTCTCCAAAAGAATAATATGGGAATTTTAAATTACACTTTTTTTTATTTTCTCTGTGACAGTTAGGGATACAACAGCTCTTCAAAATGGTTTAGAAAGAAAATGCAAAATATTTAGTTTTTAGGGTCAACAATGGGAAGAACCTATTTTTACCCCATAAACCCCCCCCCCCTAAACCCATGTTCCCATGGTCTGATTATACTGGTTCGTGAACTCGTTTGAATAAACATAGGTTTACATGTTTGTACCAAATTTCAGCAAAATCGGATCATTTTTGCACGAGTTATCGCGCTAACGGGCACATATATATATACAGGGTGGTAAAAAAGTCCCAGGACAGTTAAATATAAAAAAAATAATTTAGATAGAGCTACAATACTTGGTACAAAGTTACAGAGCATAAAACTCAGTGATCCAATAACCCTTCAGGGGGACGGCCCACAAGGAGTCGGAAAAAAATCTTAAATGGAAGCATAGGTCATTATGCACATCAAATGGCAGATGTTCAAAGATTTCTTGAATCCGCCATTTTGAATCTTTGAACGACTGCCATTTTTTACTCAGGCATTCTTTTGAGCTTGAATTTACGGCATTGTAATCTACTAGTGAAGACCTGTAATTTGATGTTCATATCGACCTATAAATACGTTAACAATTTTCTTCCGATTCCTAGGGCTGTGCCCCCTGAGGAGTAAGCGTATAATAGCAATGTAAATTAAATGAATCTTTGAACAACTGTCATTTTGCGCAGGATCAACCTTTTGAGGTGCGGTTTGCGGCATTGTATTCTACTAAAAAAGACCTTTAATTTGATGTGCTTATTGACTTATGCTTCCATTTAAGATTATCTTCCGACTCCTTGTGAGCCGTCCCCCTGAAGAGTTATTGGATCACTGAATATGTGTTAAAATAGAGTTTTATGCCCTGTAACTCTGTACTTTGTAACTTTGTATTGTAGCTCTATCTGCATTTTTTTTTTTAATATTTAACTGTCATGGGACTTTTTTACCACCCTGTATATATGAATTTGAACGGATGGTGTCTTTGGCCTCTGGGGACTTCAAAACGAAAAAGTAAATCGGTCCCGGGTCTAGGTCTTATCATGAGACCTACGGTAATAGCTTATTCCCTATATGGGAAATTCACTAAAAATTTTCCGGGGGAGAACCCGGACCTCACTTTTTGCTGAGGGGTATTCCATACCCCCCCACCTCCCGGTAAGTCCGGCGCCACTGTGGTCCAGTGTAAATCCCTTAAAATATGCTCTGAAAGTCATCTGTCCAAAGGTGTGCGAAAAAGAACAAAATAAAACATCAAAAACTTATTTAGTTCACGGACACTGCTTGAGGATGACCCTGACAGATGATTGGAATTTTGTTTGGAGATAATTGAAATGATTGACGAAGATTGACTTCTGCATGAGGGAATTATATTTTTAGATGAAGCTACATTTTATCAAACAGGATCTGTAAACAGTCATAACTATTGACAATATCATAACTCACAAAATCCACCCCCCGAATAATACCCGAAGACAAGACATTTTTCAATACCCCACTCATAATTTTAAAAAATATGAAACAAGTCCTCTCTATATGGGGTTAAAAATTTACAATAAAATTCCAAACTCCTTAAAGCAATTAAACTTAGCAAAATTTACAGACAAAATCAAAACAGTTTTAGCAGAAAAAGCATATTACACTCTTGAGGAATTTTTCAACGACTCCTGGTAACAGACATCCAATCTCTCATCAACCTCTCCTAACTTAAACAGTTCCACCATGCTGTAGCTTTGTAGGGGTAACTTACTGGCTAAATCCTAGGTTTTTTATATACCTATTTAGATTTCCTTATTTATTAGAAACCTTGACAATGTACCTGTCTATGTATTACATTTGTAATAACTTTAACAGATGTTATGTGCAATAAAGAATTGTCATTTGTCTCATGTCCACATTTCTCTCAACAGGAGAACTTTAAATCAAAAAGTATAACACAATGGGCTGCTTCCATAAAGGATGGTGTTTAATCCTAAAACATGTCTCAACTAACAACAACTGAAAGATCCATTAGTTTTAATCAATCACATGTATCTTAATCTTTCTCAGCCAGAGATGAAAAAGG